CAGTTTTTTTCATTCAGTTTTTTCAGGGAAAAAGTTTGTTAAAACCTATCGACATGGTATTTAGTTTTGAAGATATCGACGCGAGGAATCCAATGATAAAAAAGGTTTAAGATTTGGACGCACAGTTTAAGAGATAAAACGTTTTGAATAAACAGGTCTAGAAAAAAAGAAAAAAAATCCTAGGCTACGACCAGTGGCGCACATGCAGCACCACTTGTCGCGGCCCGCTGAGGTGGAAGTGATCTTTGAAAGTATCCTTCTTAATTAGTGATTTCAGGCTTTCCTTCTTCCCGGTATAAGCGATACAAATGGCCCCTGCTCCGAACGCATTGGCGCTCGCATGATCTCTACACGGGCCGCGACCTATTAGCTTTGACCGCTCGCTATATTACTTCTGCACTTACAGCTAGCTCTGCGATATATACACGTGTATTGGTCCACTGGTTTTTTATTCAGATATTTTCTTACTGGTGAAAAATAATTTTTGAATTTTAAAAGGTCATTAATTTGAGAGAATTTTAATGGGAGTACAGATGAGCGGGCCCAAGTGCGCTGCAGGCCCAAGCCTCTTTTTCATTTTCTTTTTTCTTGTTTGGTTTCTTTTTTTACTTTGTTTATAACTCAAATTAAAAAAACATTATAAAACACGTTATTCAAAAATTGAAAAAAATGTTAACCAAGCTTTTGATTTGTTTTAAATGTGTATAGAGAAAATGTTTCTCATGTATATGAAAAATTTGTACGAAAGAATATACAATATGTGTGAAAAAGTTGATCATGTATTTTGAAATATTTTAATAAAAAAATTGGAAAACAATAAATAATATCTGAAAAATGTTAATCTGGCATTTAGAAAATGTTAAATGTGTATAAAAAAATATTCAACATGTATTAAAAAAATTAATCTTTCATTTGAAAAAAAATGTGAATCAACCATTTGAAAAATGTTAAATGTGTACAGAAAAGATATTGACCATGTGTTAAAAAATGTCAATCATGTATCTGAAAAATGCTAATAAAGCATTTGAAAAATGTTATAATGTGTATAGCAAAAATGTTGACCATGTATTAAAAAAATCTTGTATTTGGAAAAAGTTAATCAAGCATTTGAAAAAATGTAAAAAAATGTCTAAGGAATTTTTTTTGACCATGTATTAAAACAATGTTAAACGTGTATTAGGAAAATATATTAGATATATACCAGGAATGTACATTGTGTATGGGACAAAGTGGACATAAAAATATAACTTCTCGAAAAATGATAATCATGTTTTTAACCATGTATATAGAAAATATTCTAGATGTGTACCTAAAATGTTGAATGTATATTGAAAAGGAAGTTAACATGTGTTGAACCAAAAAGGAGCCTTAGAAAACAAATGTAAACGAAGAAAACACAATAAAAACCAAAAGAAACAAAACAAAGAAAATAAGTAACCCAAAGCAACCAATTCAAAAGAATGATAACAAAGGAAACTGAGAACGAAACAAAGAAAAATAAAATAAAACCAATAAAACCCAAGAAAGAAGTAAAAGAAAACCATAGAAATAATGGAACAAAAGCGAGAAAATAATGAAAACCGAGAAAGAAACAAATGAAAATAAAAAACGGTGAAAGAAATGAAGAAAACCGTTGAAAAAACATAGAAAACAAAAAAAATGCGAAGATGTAAACAAAAAAGATAAGGAAAACGAAAAGAAAAAAAAATCAGCAAACTTAACGAACGTATAAAAGACGGGTCGGGCCAGTCGATACAGCGTGGGGTAAAACCTTCAGCGTCACTTATGGTAGTCTCACTATACGCGAGATATAACATCTACGTTTGGGAGGTCCCGACAAGCGCCCTAAGGGCCAGCTAGGCTAATTGGGGCAATTCCTAGTTACGTTTCTTCTGTTTTTCGCAAACCGCTGCCTGGAGGAGGTTTCTTGCGCGTCTAGATGGGCCGGCCCATATTTCTTTCTTTCATGGAAAAAAGCAAAAAAAAGTGTGTGCAGTGACGGGAGTTCAAACTTGCGACCGCAGGAATAGCACAGATCAGCACCAACCAATCGGCCACCTTCAGGCTGGTGGCTAAGATTCACCTTTTCTCTTTCTATTCTGTTTTTAAGTTCGTTGTGAATCGAGATTTCATTTTTATTTTATTTTTTCTTTATCACTTTATTGTTTTTATTTTTGGTTTTCCCTTCTTTTTCGGTTTCTTTTCTTTTTCTTTATTTTTTTCCGAAAATGCACAAAGTTTCATGAACTTTTTCTTCAAACCGATGAACTATTTTTTCGAATTTGATGATTTTTTTCAGATTCCGTGAACTATTTTCATATTTTATGGACTATTTTTAAATTCTATGAACTTTTTTGAATTGATGAACTTTTTCTCAAATTTGATGAACGCTTTTCAATTTGATGAACTTTTTTCAAATCGATGAACTTTTCTTCAGATTCGATGAACTTTTTTGTATGAATTTTTTTTCAAATTCAGCGAACGCTTTTCAATTTCGATGAACCTTTTTCAAATCAGTGAATTTTTCTTCAGATTTGATGGACTTTTTCTGTGAACTTTTTTTTCAAATTCGATGAACGCTTTTCAATTTTGATGAAATTATTTCGAATCGATGAACATTTTTTTTCAAATTCGATGAACTTTTTTCAGATTTGATGAACTATTTTTTAGAATTGACGAATTGTTTTTCAAATTTGATTTATTTTTTTCAAATTCAATGAACTTTTTGAAATTTGATGTTTTTTAATTCGATGAACTTTTCGCATAATCAATGAACTTATTTCAAATCCGATGAACGCTTTTGAAAAAGATGGATGGACTTTTTTGAAATGGTGAACCTTTCTTGCAAATTCAATGCACTTTTTTAATTCACAGTTTTTTTTTAATTCGTAAATTCGTTTCAAAATCCGATGAACGGGCTTTCGTTAAATAAAATCAACTTTTCCAAATTGTTTTTGAATAATTCGCAAAGCTAATAAATAGCGCGGATACATTGGTTCTTAAAGATTTCGCGTTCCATGTATTTGTTGGGGCTTTCTGGCTGTAGTGGTTAGCAAAGCAGTGCCTTTGTTGTAGCGGCAGGGCGCGAGTTAGAATCCCTGCGTCCGCACTTTTTCCTTTTTTTTGAGATGAAACTAGGGTTTTATTCATTAACCAAAACAGCCGGAATACAAATGATGTCTGGTAAGTTCCCTAGCCACACATGTCGACCAACAGGGAGTGTCGAGGCTGCATTTGCCAAGGCATGTGCCTCAACATTTGCCTCCCTGTTCTCAAAACGAAAAACAACTTTAACAAAATCTAAAGTTCTAGCTCTAATTTCATCCAGAACAAAAGCATATGAAGTAGATGGCGCAGAACCATTAATATCTGAAACGACTTGCGAGCAATCCGAAGCTATTATCACATGTGATTGTAGGAGATCCGCACTTTTTCCTGTGTTTTCTCGCGACACATTTTTTCTTCTACTGTGCGTGGTGGGCCGGCCCATGAGGTGCGGCGCGCGGCGCGCGGGCGTCGAACAGGAGCCCCACTAATTGGCGCGTACGCG